TCTCTTACCCCACATACGTATTCGTCGATCGAGATCTTTCAGTGTACGTGTCTGATGTGGTAAATCATCGTGTAACGAAATGGGTGGAAGGTGCAAAACAAGGCATTGTCGTGGCTGGTGGTCAAGGACATGGAAATGGTCTTACACAATTGTCTTGTCCTCGAGGAGTCGTTGTCGATCAATTGGGCACTGTCTATGTGGCTGATACAAGGAATGATCGAATCATGCGTTGGCCCAAAGAAGCCACACAGGGAAGTGTCATTGTTGGTGGAAACGATAGAGGAGGACAATCGAACCAAGTCAATCTGCCCATCGGTTTGTCATTCGATCGACACGGCAATCTCTATGTCGTCGATTGTGGAAATCATCGAGTACAAAAATTCAATATCGAATTTAATGGGTAGACATAAACAGAAACACTGAATATAATATTTGTGTGTTAACATATTATTATGCTTTATACCTGTAATTGAATCTTCATTAATAAAATTTTGGACGATAATGTGATTTAAGAGATGTCTACTCTCTAAAAAAAATCCGTTTCCTAGAAAACCCAAAGGACTTCGGATACGCTTCCGGAAACCTTTTAGAGTTTCCAAAAGGGTTTCCGGTCTCAACTATGGGTTTCAGAAATATCCTCTTGGTTTCCGAATGCTCGAAAACCAAAGAGTTTTCGAGAATGCCGATTCGGATACCCTAAAAGTATCCTCGAATTCTCTGATGGTATTTAGGGAAACCGTAAAGGTATATTAGGAAACCTATATTACTAGCAAAATCGATTTTCTACCCCAAGGGGTATCCGACAATACCATTTCGGTTTTCGAAGTATTTCATCGGAAACCGAAAAGGTTTGCGAACATTCCAAAACTCAAAAAAGTATAATGGAAAACCTAAATAGGTTTCCGAATTTTTTTGAAGCCTTTGAAGACTTCCGAAGTTTCGAAAGCAGTCGAAAACTGTTTCCCTTAAGTGATGTCAGAGCCTTACAACTATTTGAAAGAAACTTGGTGGGGATACGAATTTCGATCTTCATTTTTTTCATTTTAACGGTTATTAGGACGCTTGAAGTGACTATGTGTTTATCACAAGGCATTTGCTTATCAATGATTGCTTCTTGACATCAACATATTTTTATACATATTCATTTCATCCTCTCAAAATAATCAAACATCATTTTTACATTGTCAATTCAAGTGTGGCTACTGGTATAGGACGAAAAACATAGCCTTGACAAAACTCAAACCATTGAATAATAACATTAACTCTAATATGTGTCTTTTCTCTTTGCTGTTTTGATAAAATTCTAATAAAAACTCCGACTAAGTTTAGGAATTGGAATCCACAAAAGTGAGAGAGAGTAAGAACACTAGAAATATTTGTCATTGAAAAGTTATTTTAACTGACTAATCTACAAGATAGTATCGATGGACTTCAAATCATTCAAAAAAATTAGTTTTAAGCGAAAACGAGGTGATGATATCATTGTCATCCACATGTGATTGCAACAATTTTGTCCACATATTTGTCAAGAGAACAATGAATCATCATTCTATGATATCTGCCTTTCTTTTTTTCCAGTGTTTTCTCTGCTTACGTGGTATAATCTAATAAAAATAAAAGTTTAAGCCTCTAATGTATAGATTCGTAACAGTGCATTTGTGTTCTAATATTGTTTACTTTATATTGAATTGATTGTATCGTCTTCACATTTCGGTTGGCTGAAAGTTATCCAAGTTTGAGATAATAATTGTTTATTTCGCCTTATGTAATAACAATTTTCATTAAAAGCAAAAAAAATTAATATAAGCGACTATTTGTATTTTCTCTAATATTGTTTGTAACATTTCGTTTATATAACAGTTTCTTGTTAGAATTCTCGACTATTCTTTAGATTTTCGAAAAGAAGCTCAAGATAATTTTCTTATTCATATGGTACTGAATCAAGAGATTAAGTAATGATAACTATTGGTCACGATAAAAAATGCTCAAACAAGTTAACAAGCACAAACTGTTTCTAGGTGCACTCTTGCATAGTCATCATAGAATGGACAAAAAAGAAATATCAAATATCAAATGCTCGTGATTATTAAATGTACCTATCTGAATGCTCTCAGAATACATTGATATCAACCAAAGTTTAAATGAAAGTTAAAAGTAAAGTTTGAGGATGTTTACTCATCTACTTCAATGTTTAGTTGTAATGTTAAATTTCGAACACCTCACTTCGTTTAAGTTCACAAACATCTGATTTTTAATATATACTAGCCTTGAAAATACAGATAATAAGGAAAACAGTCAATATGAAAAAGATTGCTTTGAAAGAATCCTAGACGTTTTTTAGATGATTAACCAGGGCAGAGGATATCAGCCAAAAGCACGGGTTGGGACGGGTCCAGAAAAATAACGTTTGATGACACGAGCGAAGCTGATTGAAAATAGATCAAAACATGTTCACATGATTTCCTAATAACCCTGCTCATCTTTTAGTTTGTGCATACGACGTTCAAACGACTTTCATATCATTCAAACACGCTATAAGGAAACGTTTTGAATGCTATTCGACAATAAAATTGATTTTTCTGAATCTCTAAGCCTTTTGATGTTATATATATATATAATAATACATATGTACCTCAAAGATGGAAGATTTATAATAGTTTGAATGCTTTTTTTTATAGATGAATACTACTGATCCATTCACGTGGAAAATAGATGATGTTGCGACTTGGCTACATACTTTCATTTCAAATGATGAAATAATTAAAGAATTTCAAAGTGAGTCCTATAAAATATGTAATGCACCTCTTTTTCAGGTTGATTTATAAATATTCTTTCACCTTATTATCCTTTCTCTCTTCCACCTATTATAGTTTAGATGTTTTTTACTAGGTACTATCTCCTAGAAAACTAACGTTGTATAAGCTGACTTACACCTTTAATCTAGAAGTTTGTTTGATTTTGTATACGGCGTATTAGGTGATACTTAGTTAAATGATTTTGTTTCTTTATTGTGAGATTAAGTAACTCAATCACTCAGTGATGTCCACTAGAGTCTTTTTGTGCAAAATTTGCGTTACCAATCGATCATTTAATGAATTTTGTGATTATTTTCGTCATGTTACATTGGATCATGCCAATGAACCTAATTTTCGATTAACATGTGATATATCAGACTCTTGTGGTGTTATGTATAAAACATTTACGTCATACTAAAAGCACATTCATCGGCATCATGAAAATTTACTTCATCCAGTATGTCAACAACAAGAAAATACCGTTATGAATGATATGAATACATTAGCAATTCAGCAACCTGATGCAACAGTTATATATCCAGATACAGCTGATAATAATCATGACAATGTTATATATGCAGATTTTAATGACGATCTTGATAATCAATGGAACACTCTAACAACAAATATTTCTAGTAAAGATGAAAAAATAAATCTTCTTACAGTTCAACAACAATTCACCGGATTTTTACTTGAAATGAGAGAAAAACACATTTTGCCTCAAACAGTGATCCAATCCATTACAACGCATATAATCAATTTACTAGATATCGTAGTGGAGCTTGTAGAAGAACAAGCGAAACAAGAAGGTATGACTCAACAGCAATCAATAGCAACAACTATTTCAATTGATGGAATGCGCAAAACCGTAAAGCAGATAGAACAATCAATCATTGCTTCAACTCGAAATGAGTATCAATTTATACAATCTTGCCAAAAAGTTTTCAATTATTCACCACCTATAGCAAATAATTTATCATCAAATCATTTGAAAAAAGAATATTCATATCATATACCTATACGAAACACTTTAGAGAAAATTTTACAAAAAGATGAAATGATACCACTTTTAATTGATAATATTCAACATCAAACTTCAATAACACATGATGATCCAGATTTAATGTTTTCAAGACGGGATGGTATTAAAGGTAAAACATTTAGTAATCAATCATTTTTAATTCAATTATATGTTGATGGCATTGGTGTCACAAATCCGATAGGTCCGAAGAAGGACCAACACAAATTGACACTTGTATACTTCATGTTAGAAGATATACCGGATATCTTTCGATCTACGTTACAATGTATTAATCTTGCAGCTATTTGTTATACAAAATATTTGAATAAAGATGAAAAACTTAGAAAATTTTATGATCCGATTGTAAATGATTTGAATGATTTGCAATCTACTGGTTTAATATTTAATACATTCAACAGTCAATTACATTTTACATTTACGACAATTGCTGCTGATAATTTAGCTGCACATGAAATCGTTGGTATGCAACAAACATTTAGTTCTGGATATTTTTGCAGGAGGTGTTTAGTAACCTATGAAAATCGACTTATACCATTAACCGATATTCACTTCATTCAACGAACACATCCTCAACATACAAAATGTTTACAATTACTTGAAAAGAATCCACATATAAAATCAATGTATGGTGTTATTGGTCCAAGTCCACTTGATAACTTAATAAATTTTGACACAACTGCTTCTTTGCCGGGAGATGTAATGCACGATTATTTCGAAGGTAACTATTCATAAGATAAAATTTTGCTTGTAGATTTATTTTTTTCTTTCTTTTTTAGGTGTATGTCCGATCATTATCATGGCATTGTTAAAGGAAGCATCAAATTTAAAGCTGATTACTTTTGCTGCTATTCAGGAGAGAACAGAAAATTTTTCTTATGGTGAATTAGATGCATCAAATAAACCTCCTCCTATACAAGTTAAACATCTAAACAATGATCGTATCACTGGAAGTGCAGCTCAAAAATTCTGTTTGTTTCGATTGTTCCCAATCATCTTTTCTGATATGGTCGAGCATTTAAAATCATTTAAAATTTACCTCATTTTGCGTGAAATGTTGGATATAATATTAGCTTTGCCTCAACGAAAAAGTTGGCTTCCTTATCTTGAAACGTTATCAATAAATTTTCAGTGTATGATGTTAGAGCTTTTACCAGATAAAGCAACACCGAAGGTACATTATGCTACTGAGTATACAAAAATAATTGAGGAAAATGGTCCACCACTAAGGTATTGGTGTATGAGGTACGAAGGTGCTCATCTATATTTCAAGAAAATCGCTATGCAATCTTATAATTTTAAAAATATTCCTAAAACGTTGGCACAAAGACAACAACTTAGACAATGCTTTTTAATGTCCAAGTGTCGATTTTTGAAATCATATCAAGAAGCTAGTGGTAATAAAATAATTTATATGCATGAAATTGATTCCAAAGTCAAAGTTCTTTTAAATCATCGATATGGATCACAATTTATTCAATCACAAACATTATTGCAATGCTCGCAACTAATTCATAATCATGTTATTTATAAACAACATGCCGTTTACGTTTATGACTTAGAACATGTGGAGGAAATACCAGTATTTTTTCAAATAATTCATATATTAAAGTTAAATCAAGAATGGATATTCGTTGTAGATCTTCTGAATACTGATGGATTTAGCACTAAACTATGGAGCTACAGAGTTAGCTCATATGATCGACTTGACATAGTTTCACCAAATAATATAAAATATTATCACAAAGGACTTGACTTATATAAAGTAGATCATTTTCATGTTGTTAATCTAACCTCAAGACTAACAAAAACAAATTGACATATCTAGGATATAAAGCATACTGCTTTTTTTTCCTTTTTTAATCTAATTCTGTGATTTAAGATCTAAACTTTCACAATTTGAGAATTGTCGAATCAGAAACTTCTTTTAATTTTTGTTGTTTTTTGTTGTAGAGGAAGAAGTTGATGGTGAAACATTGTTCTATATGAACGATTTGAGTCTATTGAAACCATTCAAATTGTCGTACAAAAATCAAATTATATTTTTGAAAGAAAGAGAAAAGTTATTTTCGTCGAAAACAAACGAAAAACCAACATCATCATCAACACCAAATGATACAGCATTATTAATTATAGATGAAAATCAACAAGATGATGAACATAAAAATCAATCAGCAGAAACATCAATAAATGTATCATCTATCGAAACTATTATTACAACTGAAAATTTAACAGAAAAATCTCTTCCAGATCCTTATTTATTACCAGTGTTACCGAGTCAAGTCAACGATGCAATTAATCTTAAACAAATGGAAAAATTTGAAAAACTTTGCAACTTTCGTTCAATTATTATAGATGCTGTTTTTCATGATTTGAAAACAAATTATGGTTTGATGTAAGTATAATATTTTATTGTCTTATTTAAGTTCTTTTTTTATTTATTGGAGAGCTTTCTATAAATCTAGAGACGAGTCATTATGTTAAAATAACAAAACCCAATAGACTGTATAGAAAAATATAAAGAAGATTTTAACATATTAAATACATTTGTTTCTTATCAAGTTTTAAACTTTTAAAATTGGAATGTTAATAAATGAATTCATCTACATATTTTTTTTCTACATAGATATCCGACACGAGAACAATATACAACAATTGTTAATGGAATACTTAATCATTTGAAGATTGAACGTGATCCAAAAACATGTGTAAGTAAATCTGAAAAATAATCCTATCAATATTATAATCATTGATATTTTAGAATTCATGGCGAGAATCTCTCATTTCCAAATATAAAAGAGAGAGACAAAATTTCGATGAAGAAAGAAGAATCGAAATGAAGCTTAGATATTCCAGAGAAAAGTCCGGAAGAAAAATCAAAAAATATTCAACGACTCAAATATCTCAAAGAAATACAACAAAGCAAGTAAGTTAAGAAAAAAGTAGCCAAAAAGAGGTACATGTTTTTATACTTTTAGATGTTAATCATTCAAGGTACACCTAATGAAATTCAACAAATAGAAGAAAAAGTTGAAACAATTAAAACAGATTTACAAAATAAATCAATTGATGATCCACATATTCAACGGTTGTGGATTGAAACCTTTGATTATCGACAAAATTTTATCAAGCAAAACACAACTGTAAATATTATGGGACAATTTCCTGTTTATTCAAACCCTTCTATGGTAAGAAAAAAATCAGAACTTTCAGTCTCAAACTTTATTTTTAGATATTGGCAGATATTGAACTATTATCAGGTGTCAATTTGGAAAATTCCGTCAAAGAAAAAATCCAATTACTTTCAAATAAAATTTGTTCCGGTAACAAATTTCTATCAGGTATAGAAAAAATTCTAGTTTACTAAAAAGTCATATTATTTATTAGATGATCCGGTTGTTCGTTGTTTTAAAATATTATGCAGTATTCTAAATGACTCATGGAAACATTATATTTGTTTTTATCCTGAAGTAAGTTATCTGTATATTTTTTAAATTTTCTTGAATAGCAGGAACAGAAAGCACAACAGGAGTTAGTGAAATTTGATCTCGTATTTGAGTCAGCTAGACAGTCTTCTTAGTTCGATTGAGAGGAATTGCTTATTAGTTCAGTTTATTCCAAGTTCTAATTAATACAGGTTTTCGATCAAAGCATTAATTCTTCATTTTCTACACTCAAAAATGGTGATATTAGCTCACTATATATACTATTCGTCCAATCAGATAACATAATTGTCATACATAAACAACATAGATGTTCCTATAAATTTCATTTTCTATCAAAAGCTTTGGCACATGAAAAATTCCTTATGTTTCACTTTGACATAATATCTTATTTTACAATATAAAGAAGTTATTATTACATTTATTCTCTCCGAAACTTATGCTTTTAATATGCCTTAATTGATCTTCTGATTGGTTTTAGAAACCAGCTACTCCTCAACCAACAATGGTAATTGAGGAAAATGATATTAAAATCTATGTGGATTGGACCTTCATTTGCTCATCGAATTCTATGGAACAATCATTGGCTTTAGTTGTTGGTTTATATTGTTTGATGAATCTTACGTTTCCAACATATCGTAGTGCTGTTAGATTTTTATATGTTTATTTCATGAATGACAAGCAACAACAATCAAATGTCATTCGAAAATTTTGTAAAGTATACAACATTCAACTTCAAGATAATCCTTCATCATCAAATGCTGCATTACTGGAAGAAACAAAAATTAATGATATGTATTTAAATGACAGACGTGAAAATAATGAAGAACAAAATATATCTTTTGAACTTCAAACGACAACATCAACTCAACCAACATCGATGGAATCAACATCACATGAATCAACATCAATTGATTCAATATCAACAGAATCAATATCAATGGAACCAATATCAATAGAATCAACACCAATGGAACCAATACCAACTGAACCAACAACATTTCAACAACGATCAAATAGTAAACGCAAAGCAGAAGAAAAACATGATCATGAGCTACTGTCTCTGGAGACAGATTCATCGAAACAAAAAATTACGAGAAATCTCCGATCAAAACGACACAAACAATAAGGACACATTCACAATGGCAACAAAAACTGTTTTATATGTCTCACTATTTCTTCTCTCATCATAAAAGAACTAGCGTTTTTTGTTTTTATAAGAGAAGGAATTCATTTTTTCGTTCGTCGGCTTTTTTAAAGTATTACTTTCTCGAGACAATTCGTCAAATGAGAGACATATAAGCCACCGAAATTTATTCTCTTTCGTATTGCTCAACATTTTCTGAAAAGAGTTTTGATTGCTATAATAAATTTCCACTTCTTTGTGATAGACACTTGAAAATTTTATTGTTAGCAAACCCGAAATTTTGATAGTTAGAATAGATACTTCAAAAAATTTTCATTCAAAATTGAACAGTGAAACATAAAATAATACATGGTTCAACAAATCAGGTACTTTCACACGGTGAGCGCGTTTTTTTTCCAGATTATTGAATATTCATTTTTTTTCTTTTAAGTTGATCAAAATCGAAGTTCAGTTGCAAATCTTTATACATTTTGATATATGTATATTTCATGCATTCTGGTGAATCACAATCGAACAATTGAACTGTAAGTATATATACAATATATAATATATTATTTCTTTAGGTGCTCAGAGATTTAAGCCTAACCTTTTCCCGAATATTCCAGATTTAAATTCTATTTATTTAGGTGGATCCAGATCGAAGGGTAGACTTTTCTTCTCCTACTGCACTTTCATATTTTTCTATTTACGATGATCGTAATCAGACTGTAAATTTTTCTATATATTGATATGCGTCTATTTTATTTGTTTTTGAGTATCCAAAAACGAGATTTAAATGTAAGTCTTTATTGATTATCGAAAATTGATATTTTATATATTTAGGTGGAGGGTGTGGGTGTGTGGGTGTGGGTGTGGGTGTGGGGTGTGGGTGTGGGTGTGGGTGTGGGTGTGGGTATATTGAATCTTAAAATTCACACCCACACCCACACCTACACACACACCCCACCCACACCCACACCCACACCCACGCCCACACCCACACCCACCCACACCCACACCCACCCACACCCACACACCCACATCCACACCCCACCCACACCCCAAAATTTAAAGAACATTTTTTCCAGAGGGTTCTTCACTATTTAAAGCCCATTCAGGTGTGTTTGTAGCATGGCTAGAAGGTCCCAAGTTTATGATAACTCTTTTGAGAAATTACATGAGCTCATAATTTCTTGCTCACAAACGTCGCACAACATACAGAACCGGAAGTAGAAAAGCGTTTGGCAGGATGTGTAGGTGTTGGTAGACGTGTAAGTCGTCTGGCTGAGCCACCACTGCCATCAATTTCGTGAGGAGGGTATGGGTCTGGGTCTGAGTCTGAGTCTGGGCGTGCTGATATGTGCATAGATGTAACTCGTAAAGATAGAACACCCGTACCCACACTCATCCCAAAGTCATTACTTTAAAAAATAATGAACAACTAGATTCANAGTGTGTGCGTGTGGGTGGTGTGGGTGTGTGGTGAGTGTAGGTGGGGTGTGGGCGCACACTCTAGAAAGAATCCGTTTCCTAGAAAACCAAAACGACTCTGAATACCCTTTCGGAAACCCTTCAGAGGTTCCGAGAGGATGTCCGACCTCAACCCTGGGTTTCAGGGATATCGTCATAGTTTCTGGATGCTCGGATACCATTTGGTTTTCGAGAATGTCGAGTCGGATACCCTAACAGTATCCTCGGATACCTTGATGGTATTGAGGGAAACCGTAAAGGTATATTAGAAAACCCATATCACTAGCAAAATCGATTTTCTACCCCAAGAGGTATCCGACAATACCATCTCGGTTTTCGTAGTATTTCATCGGAAACCGAATGGGTTTTCGAAGCTTCCAAATCTCAAAAAAGTATAATGGAAAACCTAAATGGGTTTTCGAATTTTTTGAAACCTTTGAAGACTTCCGAAGTTTCGAAAGCTGTCGAAAACTGTTTCCTTAAGTGACGTTAGAGTCCAAAAACTATTTGAAAGAAACATGGTTGGTATCCGAATTTCGATCTTCATTTTTTTTATCTCAACGGTTTTTCTGGACACTTGAAGCGACTATGTGTTTATCACAAAGTTTTGCTTATTGATGATTGCTTCTTGACATCAATACGTTTTTAAACATTCATTTCATTCTCTCAAAATAATCAAACATCAGTTTTCTATTGTTAATTCAACTGAGATTGCTAGTATTCGACGAAAAATATAGCTTTGACAGAACTTAACCTATTGAACAAGAACATTAACTCCAATATTTGTCTTTTTTCTTTGCTGTTTTGATAAAATTCTCATTAAGACTTCGACTAAGTTAAGGAATTGTGATCCGGAAAATCAGAGAGACTAAGAGCACTAGAAACATTTGTCATTGAAAAGTTATTCTAACTGACTGATATACAAGAAGATAGCATCGACGGACTTCAAATCATTCGAAAAAATTACAATTAAGCAAAACCGAGGTGATAAAGTTATTGTCATCCAGATGTGATCTTAACAATTTTGCCTACGTATTTGTCAAAAGAACAATGAGTCATCATTCTATAATATCTGTCTTTCTTTTTTCCAGTGTTTTCTCTGCTTACGTTGTATAATCTAATGAAAATGAAAGCTTAAGCCTCTAATGTATATATTCAAAGCAGTGTAATTCATATGTATGAAATAGATTCAAAAATCAAGGTTCTTCTCATTAATCGATATGGACAATACTTTATCGAATCACAAATATTGTTTCAATGTTCGCAACTAATTCATAATAATGTTATTTACAAACAACATGCCGTTTATGTTTATGATTTAGAACATTTAGAGAAAATTCCATTATTTTTTCAGATAGTTCATATGTTGAAGTTAAATCAACAATTGGTATTCGTTGTAAGTTAGATCTTCTGAATACTGATGGATTTAGCACCAAAATATGGAGTCATAAAGTTAGCTCGTATGGTCGGCTTGAAATAGTTTCACCAAATGACTTAAAGTACTACCACAAAGGACTTGATCTATGTAAAGTTGATCATCTTCATGTTGTTAACTTAACATCAAGATTAACGAAAGAATATTGATGTTTCGACGATATTGAACATTCTGATTCTGATTCTTTTCTTTTCATATGATTCAATGGTTCAAAATATAAAATTTGAAAATTTGGGACATGTGAAAGCAGAAACTTCTTTTAACATTTGTCTTATTTCATTCTCTCAAACAAATGGAAAAGTTCGAAAAACTTTGCAATTTTCGGTCAATAATGATAGATGCTGTTTTTTATGATTTGAAAACAAACTATGATTTGCTGTAAGTATAATGTTTCGATAATTTATTTAAGTTCTTTCTTTTATTCATTCGGGAAGTTTGTGTAGATGTATAATAAAGTAGCTATGTCAGAATAAAAGAAATCAATAGACTATGAGCACATGTAAACAAAAGTAACATGTGACAAACACACGCTCATAATGGAGTTCTAAACGTTTATAATGGGTATTCTAATAAATAAATTCTTCTATATATATTTTTTCTACATAGATATCCAGCAAGGAAACAATATACAGTTATTGTCAATGGTATATTGAATCATTTGAAAATTGAGCGAGATACAAAAACAATTGTAAGTAAATCTGAAAAATAATCATGTCAAGAGTATAATAATTTATGTTACAGAATTCGTGGCGAGAGTTTCTTATTTCCAAATATAAAAGAGAACGCCAACATTTCAATGAAGATAAAGTAACTGAAATGAAGCTAAGATACTCAAGAGAGAAATCTGGACTAAAAATAAAAAAAATTTCCAACAACACGATTATTAGAAAGAAGCACAACAAAAATAGTAAGTTACACCAGAAACAGCCAAAAATATATGTGTTTTTATTTTCCTAGACATCAATCATATATGATATACCTAATGAAATACAACAAATGGAAGAAAAAACTGAAACACTTACAATAAATTTTCGAAATAAATCAATTGATGGTCAACATTATCAACGGCTATGACTTGAAACTTTTGATTATCGACAAACATTTACCAAGCAAATCACAACTGCAGATAGATATTATGGAACATTTTCCGGTTTATTCAAATCCATCTATGGTAAAAAGAAATTGCAACACTTTCAGTATCACATTTTCATTTTAGATATTAACGGATGTTAAACTATTAACAGGTGTAGATTTGGATCATTCTGTTAAAGAGAAAATGAATAAGCTTTCTAATAAAATTTATTCTAATAATAAATTTTTAACAGGTATGGAAAAAAGTTTGTAGAATACTAAACAATCATTTCGTTTTTTAGATGATCCAATTGTTCGGTGTTTTAAAGTATTATGTAGTATACTTAACGACTCATAGAAGCATTACATTTGCTTTTACCCTGGTGTAAGTTATCTGTACATTTTTTAAATTTTCTAAAATATCCAGAACATGAAAAGAATAGAAGGAATTGGTAATATTTGGTCTTGTGTTCTTGTCAGCTAGATAGTCTTCTTGGCTTGATTGAGAGACATCGCGTATTACTTTGGTTTTTCCTTATTTCTGACTACTACAGATTTTATATCAATGCTATGGTTCTTTATTTTAAACTTTCTTGGACATGGGGATATAAGTGGGTCATAAATGTTATTCGATCAATCAGATATTATTAAATATCATGAACAATATAGATGCTTCTATAAAATTGATTTTCTATCAGAAATTTTGAGACATGAAAAATTCCTTGTTTGACTTCGACATAATCTCGTGTTACACAATAAAGAGAAGTTCTTATTACATTTCTTTTCTCTAAAGCTTACGCTTTTTAACTTATCTGGATTAATCTTCTGATTCTTTTTAGAAACCAGTTACTCCTCAACCAACAATGGTAATTGAAGACAATGATATAAAAATTTACCTTGATTGAACATTAATATGTTCATCAAATTCTATTGAACAGTCTGTTGCATTAACTGTTGGTTTATATTGTTTGATGAATCTCACATTTCAAACATATGGTACTGCAGTGAGGTTTTTTTGCGTCTATTTCATGAACGATAAGCCACAACAGACAAATTTCATTCGCAAGTTTCGTAAAGTATATAACATCGAACTTCTTGATAATCCTTCTTCATCATCTAGTACATTGTTGGCACAAACAAAAGTTAATGGTGTTTATTTAACTAATACACATGAAAACGAGAAAGAACATAACATGCCCAATGCAATTCACATGACAACATCAATTGAACCAACACCAATTGAATCAACACCATATGAACCAACAATATTTGAACCAACAACATTTGAACCAACACCGTTTGAATCAAAATCATCTGAACAACGACCAACTTGTAAACGTAAATCAGATGAAAAACTTGTTTCTGAGCTTTTATCTCAGGAGATTGATTCATCAAAATAAAAAACAACCCGAAATCTCCGTCCAAAACGACGTCTACAATAAAGATACATTCACAACGACAACAATAACTGTTTTACCAGCTCTCTATTTCTCTTCTTTTATCGGAAAGTCTTCGCCTTTTTCGGTATTTTGTGGAACTCACATATATTTTCGAAGAAAATAATGATCGTAAGTTTTATGTTCAAGGTCTCGCGGCTTCCCACCCCACCACTTACAGATAGGCCCCAATTACAGACCATACCCAAGCAGTCAGAAATGACAAAATAACACGTTTTAACGGACACTTTTCGTTTTTCTTTGAACGCATTGTACATTTCGACAAATGTCCGAATTTTTGCGTTTTAGCAGTTGATATAATTTTCACTTTAACATCGTTAAATCGGGTGGAAAGAAAAACATTTAAACACGTTACTAAAACAACTGCGTCAAAACGCAAAAATTCGGACACTTGTTGAAGTGTACAGCGCGTTCGAAGGAAATATCTTAACGAGTGCACCGCCGCGAAATTAACTAATATAATATATGGACTCCCCTGTATGTCCAGCGTCCGATACAGAGATATTCGACTTTTAAGACATGCTGAATGTATGTAGTGTTCACAATTTAAAATTTAAGTAGTTTTTTTTGTTGTGTTTCTTAGATATAGTTTGTAGAATTACATAAGACAAAATGTGTCAACTTTTAGAAAAGCTTTACGAAAGTTAAAATTTTCGGCCTATTTTCCGTTATATTTGAAAATATAGCATCTTTGAGTTTTTCGTAAAGTTATTTTTTAAAACATGGAGCAATTTTCCTTATGGAATTCGATGAGCTATATCTAAGAAATACGACCCAAAAACTACTTAAATTTTAAATTGTGAACACTGTACACACATTCAACATATCTTAAAATTTGAATACCTGGGCCTCGGTCGCTGGACGTACAGGGCAGTCCATATATTATATTAGTTAATTCAGCGGTGAGAGCTTTAATTTAATCCGAAAATGTCAAATTTTTTCTATTTACGGTATAAAACCTTCGATCATTAGATGGAAATATTCAAACAAACTATATAAACAGATCAGACTTGACAGTGATAAGACATTGTTAAGAACATATGAAAATATTTTATATACTTGCGCGGTAGAAACGAAAATTTGTTTTTTTCCAGAAGTATTTAATTTTAATTTCCGCAGCTCTATTAATAACTTCTTATGAAAGCCATATTTATTACTAGGTTTACCGATTTCTCATTTTACATTCAAGTAACTTCTCAGAAAATAAACTAAAATCGATAATATGATTTAGTTTAAATTTTTTTTGTGGTAAATGCTCCAAGAAATTAAAACTCAATACAACAAATTTTCTTCTCACTGACTAAACTGTATTCGTATGTTTTTCTTTGACAAGTTTTCGTAATCAAAAGTGCATGACACATACGAGCTATTGGAATATTATAGGAAGACGGAATTCACAAATATTGATTAAAAGACTATCACTTCTCACTTCAGCATCAAAATTCTTATTCAACTTCTGAACAAAAGCAATTTTTTCTTTCGCTAGCGCAGTTGTTCTCATTATTGTGGACTAAAATCATTATTATTTTTCACTATTGTTTTTTGAAAACTAGATTGTATATGCTCACAGGAAAATGAAACGAAGTGAAGTTCAATGACTGCGACAGCTAAATAATCGATTACTACCTTCATTTTATCACTCATGGATGCTTTTATATAGTGCAGATAAAATATCTGGAGAAATATACGACTAACTCTATCTGTTTAAGAATCTTTTATTGAAGAGTGAAAGATGTTGATGGTTTTAACTGTTTATTAAGAAGAGAAATTAAAGCAATTAGTTTTTTTTAATTTGAAATCGACAATAGGTTATTTTTTGTGTGTAAATCAAAAGTGTGCTATTGCAATATTTGTGAATTTTCTCTTCATGTATAGCAACATGATAAATCTCTTATTACAAAAAAACTAACTCATTTGGATAAGGATTACGGACAGAATTTTATTTATTATTTATTATCACTTATGAAGATGATCTATGTATGTAATTGATAAGTATATGAAAGAACGCTTATCGCTTATCAATCGCAATATATATGAGACAAAGAAACAAAGAAAGAAAGGAACAAAGAACAGTCCATAGTATGATCGGTGGTGACCAATAAGAACACATGTATGATTAAATGGAGTCAGTAGCGCATTTGGTTAAGATATATTTTGTTAAATATATTGAAATAGAAGATTAAAATATCTCGAATTTCTATAATCATTTCAATTAAAACATTTTTAGTACTCGAATATTTCTATGAATTTGTTATATCTCGATTTGTTTAGATTTTAGTCTTTAATGATGGATAATTTATATATTATAAATAAAGAGAGAATAACTCTTCATCATATTGTTGATATAATTTGTTTTTGACTATATCCACTAGATTGCTACTGTTTTTTATTTTTTACAATAAACTACAATATGTCTGATGCATCATAAATATTTAAAGCGAAATATCAGCTGAACAGGGTTGCCAAATCTCCTGACTTCATCAAGACACTGCTGATTTTTTGAACATTCCTCTGATTAAAATTCTCCTGAATCCAGAAACTGATTTTCATGATTTTCTCCTGACTTTAGTTTTTTTCTTACTTGACGATAAAAGACAATCACATAAAAACCAACGTAAAATTCTATATTGTAATCGATTTTTCTCCGATTAAAAGTCGATAAAAATGATAGAATTTTACTTGGATTTTCTGAATAGAATTTGCTTTATTTGATTCCAGCAAATTTGAATCGATTTGTATGAACTTTTAATCAATAAAAATTCGTTCGCATGATATTTTAATCTAGTTTATAGCTATTTTAGCTTATTTAACTGAATATAAATTGCTTTTGCAGTGCCAGAGGCGGAAGTATATTAAAAGGCCAATACTGTCTTTACCAATCTGTGGATGTGAGAAATCAGAAAATTACTTGAAAATTAAACTTTTCAAGGTAAAACTGGGTATAACCTTTCATAGTCATGGGAAGTATAAATGATTAAAAACAAAATCAAAGACTAACAAATTCTGTTTTTCCTCCACAGAAGGATTTAAAAACGATAAAAGAGTCCAAAAGACTAGAAATCTATTTGCGCATTCATGAGGTATAATATCCAGCAAAGAAAACTTAATTTGCCATTATTAATAAGTTCTTTTACATATAAAATATTAACGAGGTGATAATCACAGCACAGTGAAAGGAGATTCAGTTCGAACAATTAACAATTAGAATGAATAGTCGTTACGCTTGTTCAAAGTCTTATGACCATCGTTTGAATAAACGAGGTTATTCGACACAGATTTTATTACCAGATAAACATGGTCATTATATGAATTTCAGTACTTGAATTTGGCAATCCTGCAACTGATGGATTTCTCTGGTTATGTTAATCAATATTTCTCCGTTTATTAATTTTTTTCTATCTTGAAATGATACAATAAAAAGACTGTTGTATTTACAATGATTAGTTGTATGTATCAGTATCCATAAGATTTCCACCTTCTATGTGTCGAAACAATGTGTTGTCGTTTATCTGTCTATATACGTATGATATATAACCAGCGACTATTTTTATTTTCATTTTATATAGTTTAATTCGTTAAAATGAATGAATATTCTTGTTAAAATGGATTCATTCGACTAATTTGCCCATTGCGTACGTTAAAACGTGTTCATTAACCAAATATTTTCTTTAAATTCGTGGAAATGCATTATCAGCAAAACTAACCCGTTTACACTCATTGATTTCTCCTATTTGTCGAATGAACAAGTTTTAAAGCGGTTTTTTCTTCATTTTTCAACATCCATGCGTCAAAACAACGTTTATGCCATTTATTTGTCTGCATGGGTAGCAACGGAAGAGAATATTACAGACATCCCCCCCCCCCCCATTACAGACCGTGGCAACTTCGTCAAAAACAATTTTCTGTTCGAAATATAGAGATAAAAAAGACAGCATTTTCTAATAATCGATTATCTTTAGAAAAGAACTATTATCTTTTGGAGATTTTAAATATTGGGTATTTTGTGATTAGTATAATGAAATCAAAGAAGATATGTGAGTTCCACATTTCAGCCCCAATGGGGCTGCGCTAACAAGCTTTTTCTTCTAAAAAAAGGCACCCATTCGTTTCCCCTTCTGTGCCTTTTAAAACTATTCATTTACCGAGGGAGTTTCTTTCATCAACATATGAGAGATATTCATTCATGGAGTTTCATTCGTTTCGTATTCGTTCACATTTTTTATAGCTTTTGATTCTTCTAATAAACCATGCTGCGCAATCATCAACATTTCAAAATTCTTATTGCAAGTCCATCCCAAATTTTCACCGACAACATAGCTAGTCTCAAACATTTTCTTCATATTCAAACATCGACATACATCCTAAAAAAAAGAGATCAGTAAAGTAGTTCAGTTCATAAATACAAGCTCAAAAAAAGGCTATATCCCAAAACATGAACAACCACAAGTACGTCTTGACTTTCTGTTAAAACGTTAACTAACGATAGCTGATAGTGACCATAACACGTATGCTTTCTTTAAGACTTACAATCAATCCGATGGGAACCAATTGCAAGTTCTCTTCAAACTATTATATAATTCTTTTTTTTAATGCATCAAATCACAATCCATTCGCACATTTTATTCACACTATCATATATTTTTATTTTTTCCTTTATGATCCATCAAGTAAAAATCATTTATGCATGCCATTCATATAACAACATACTTGTTCTTTGATTTCAAATCCATCCTATGGAAATTCATTATAAATTGTTCTTAGACTATCGTATAGTACCATTTTTTTTCTATTTACGATCGACAAAATGGCAATGCACCTATGAGTTCGTGTTGACTTATTTATATTCTAGTTCTTATTTTTTTTTGTTTCAATGAACAACATGACAATACATTCAAGAAGAGGTTGCAACTTACTCTACATTCTATTTCTGTTTTTTTGTATTTACGATCAACACAATAAAAATGCATCTATGCCTTCCTTTCATATAATTCTATATCGTATTTATTTATTTCAGTCTGTATGAAGCAAATGATAATTCATTGGGAATTTTCCTTCAAATTATTTTTTTTTATTATGCTTTGTTGAGTAAAGAGTTAATACCCGTAGGCCTTTTAATACATCATTCGAAAGTTTACAAAAGACACAATAAGAAAGTATGAGAAGTAAGAAGAAAAGGAGAAAGACAAGGACATAAGCATAAACAGAAGATAGAGCAAAAATAAGAACGATATCAAACAAAAGGAGAGGTACTACAGAAGAACAAGAAACAAGAAATATAGGGAGCAAAGTGTATGATCTGACATAAGAGTATCACAGAGAAAGATGGTCGTACCAGTTTAGATGAAAAGTGACGAGAGGTGAGAGGGTGAAGCAAAACATAAATGTGGACTCTAAAAAGTTCCTTTTATTTATTTTTTTTTATTTATAGGAAAGTCTGAGGAAACTTAGAAAATACATCTAGTTTGTCTTGAGGAATAAGAGGAATAGAGTCGGTGACGGTGTTTTCTAACCACTTTAGGCATTGCTCGATACTCGGGACAAAAGGAACTAGTCTTTTGGACCGATATACACACCTAACTACATACTCTTTGTCAAGCCATTGGTTTCTGAATGAATTTAATGCTTGATGCTCAAACAACATAGATCCATCTATTGACTGATTCAGATGGATTCGAGGGTGTGGCTGTGGCTGTGGGTGGGTGTGCGTGTGCGTGTGGTTTAGAACAAATAACTACACCCACAGCCTCTTTGCAAGATCCCTTGTTCAATACTACTAACCATGAAAAAGCTTCATGAGATGGCTAAATACATTCGGTTTCAGATACTGGATATGATGAGTTGCACTTCGGTGTTTACATTATTGTCTGATATGAAGAAAATACAAGAATTTGACAGTTCGAATTGTGGCATAGCTAAGCAAACGCTTCATTTATTATGTGTCAAATTAAGAGTCAAGATTTGCTTCTAGGACCTAGGATCATGCATTCATGAAGTCTGGTTGAACTTCTAGGTCTGCCAAGAAAATAGAACGAGTAACAGTTAGCATAAGATGAACTTGAAGTGTAGTAAAATACTGTCTAACGAATCCCCTGTCCAAATGTTGCTGCTTTGAATCTGAATACAAAAAATCACGCGAGCATCTTAGTAAATTTGCTTTTAATGTAATATTTTAGAGATTTTACTTATCATGGGAATAAATTATTCACTTAAACAACGAATGTCTCTATCAGGGAAGAATCGCTTTTCAAGCAGTAGCTTCTCAGAACTAGAACAAATTAATCGTACGCCAATATCTGGATACAAAAATATGCCAACTATGCCATTGGAAGAAGCTGTAAAAAGTATCACAAAATTTTATCCAAAGTTCCTTGGTGATGCTGAAGAAGCTAAAGAAAAGAGCAAGAAAACCATTGTTTTATCGATAGATGCATCAGCAGCCATCTATCTTTATACAATGAATCGTGGCTTCTACAAAGAGCTGAATAAGATGCTTCGAAACGAAGATCCAGATGCACTACAACCGTGGCTTGCATACTTGAAACTTTTCATCACTGTTCTCGAAAAATTACCGTCATGTTCGAAGACAGTGTGGCGAGGTGTTAGAGACAGAACTGGAACCTCCAACTTGGCTGTAAGTCAAAGATTCATTTGGTGGAGTGTGAATTCATGTACTTCGGATATAAAAGCAGCTGAATGTTTTAAAGGCGACAGTGGAGCTCTGCTCTGCATCAATGCTATTTATGCCAAAGATATCACCACATATTCAGCAATGAAAGACGAAGAAGAAATCATTCCTATTCCTGGCACTTGCTTACGGATCGAATCATTATCACTCGAAAATACTGGAGGGTGGGTGTAGGTGTGGGTGTGTGGGTGACAGTGACAGTGTGGAAGTGATTCTTCTCTTTAATCAGACCCACACCTACCCACAGCTCACACCCCACACCCCACACCCACACCCCACCCACACCCACACCCCACCCACACCCACACCCCACCCACACCCACGCCCCGTTTCGAGAGCGGCCGCTATCTTCGTCAATGTTTTATAATGAATAAAGTGAGAATTGTACGCAATCTATACATTTGTTCTTTTTTCTTGTTTCTATTCTTTCCATGATAGTAGTATACGCAAGAAGGTGAAGTTTGACTCAGCTCATCCAGTATTATCGTCTTGTTTTTTCTTCCGCACCACTACCACGGACAGAACAGAAAAAAAAACAAAGGTATTGGTTACGTACAATTCTCATTTTGTTCATTGCGAAACATTGATGAAGATAGATAATGCTCTCGAAACGTCTTCATTATAAAATTTGTATGAAATATAAATAATAAAATAAAATGAAAAATAATAAATGTCCATTTATATCTGAATTATTATGCAAAAGTAAAGAAAAAAACCAATCAATAATTATAACTAACTATTAGCTTTTTATTGTTTTCATTTTTTTCTTTTTGCATACCTTCCTACGTTCATTTCTTTAGCTGATGAGTTATGAAAAAATTTACCTATTTCATCTTCAATCATGTTTTTTATGAATTAATCAATTTATTATATTACAGTGAGGTTAGGCTAAGTAGGAACAAAGAAATAGAGAGTATTTTGTTCATAGAAATTTTTATAAAAGAATATGTGTTGTTTCTGCATTTTGATCGAAAGATTCTTTTGGTAATTATCAGCCATTTTTTTCCTTTTCCTAAGCCAAGTGGTAGATGGCACTTATAAAGAAAACTGATGCATAGACGTTTGTCTCAGAGAGATATCGAGTTTCATGAACAAAAGAAATCAGAAAACTTTTCGAAAAAATGAAGAATTTATAGAAAATTTATCTCATAGAGTTTAGGTCTAAAAGTAAAGGAACAGCGACGTAAACATAAGGTTATGAGTATTACAATCTAAGTGCAAACTATAGATATAAAGATATGAGTATAAGAGTATAAAGTTAAACTTACAGATATAAATGTGCAAGGATAAGCGCATGTGTTATGACATAGAAGCCAGACGATAGGAATAATGGTGTAGTGATACTCAGCAAACAGTTTTTGCCGATATTTAATCAAAGAGCATTTTTTATTTTTCATGAAAGAGAAATATTTCATTTTGAGTAGGTCTTCATATTTATCTAAATCAAAGAAAACTCTTGGATTTTGACAGAACAACATAAACATGGAAGTATTTTGTATAAGCTTTAAGCTTTTTATTTTGATAGAATTTCTGCAACTTCCAAAAAATACTTCAATTCATATACTATTTCTTAAAATGGAATAATCTTCTTACATTTACAAGAGTATTAAAACCTATTCAAAATTAAATATTTCTCTTTTGTGGAAGAATAAAACCTACTCACCGATTTGCCTGAAATATTGATTAAATAAGCAAATAATCATTTATTACGTATTCAATCATGAAAAATCATACGTTTAATCGTTGCTTAACTTATATTTTAAATAGCTTTAATTTAGCATTTAAACAATAAAAGTGTGGTTGCTTTGTAAACGCTTTTAAACCATTTTTTTATGATAAACGGGTACCTTGTACAACATATTACTGTTTAAACTATGTGACGTCATGCACCGTTTTAACGGTAAAACAGCGTTTTTCCAACTGTTTGAGGATGAACAATCGAATGTAACTTTTAGCTTTTTCTAATCTATCTTGAATAACGAGGATGTATAACTCAACTTTAATTATGCTCGCGTCAGTTTTTTGTTGTTCCTGTACTCTCACTTCCTCTGTATTCATTTTTGTGTTTAAAAAACAAGGTAATGCACATGGGAATGAGTGTCGGTTGAGTGAGCTCGTCATTCTGAGTAATGTAACATGATTAATTACTAATGTTGTGATCAACATCAATAATAAGCTTACTCAATGCGAGTCGTTTCTGCCGTTCTATTACGATAAAATGTTGTAAATACGAGGAGGAATTCGTTTTCTTTCGTTCTATATTTGCGACACAGGATAAAAAGATATTTCTTCGTCATGTGTAGGATTGGATAGTGTAAAAACAATGTAAGTTACTCATAGGAAGTGAATCAATCAGTGTGTCACTACTATTTCTAGCATTCTTCCTAATGAGGAAGTATTCACTACTTTATATATCACGAGGTATCTAGTATGTGTCTTCATTTTATATCTATGCGTCGAATTTGACATAGAAGAAACAAAATAAGTGCTGTTTATCAAGTTAAATTCTACTGTTTGTTAAATATTTGCAACATGTCAGAACAGCATGATCTATCCCAGTTAGGAGTTATCACAGTTGTTTTCAATCCCGTTCGATATGAAATTCGTTATAAATTGTATTTTGAATTCAAAGAACACATGGCACGTTCTGGAATAAACTTAACCACTGTTGAATGCATCTTTCCAAAAGCAACTAAATTTGGATTACCTGAGCAAAAGTTTGAAGTGACACGATCTGACAATCCACATGATATTCAAATTATTGCACCTTCAGTCATGTGGATAAAAGAAAATCTAATTAATATAGCCGCTCAGCGTTTACCTAAACATGTTCGGTATATTGCTTGGATCGATGCTGATGTTAAATTCGAAGTAAGGATTTTTGTTCGATCTTTCGGGTATACGAAAGTTGGTCGAACGAAAAAAGATAGAACGAAAATTAGCCGCCGATAATTGGTCGCTACGAAAATTGGTTGATATGAAAACTAGTCGCTATGTAAAATAGTCGACACATTCATGACTAATTGAAAAAAATATTTGAAAGTAAAACTTTTAGAGAGACGAATAAATCAAATAATGATAAAAAAGTGACAAAAGTGATAATAAGTAAATTCTCTATATTATCACAAATTACGGATTCTTTTTTCTGATCTATATTAATCAATATAGGGTTTTAAATACTTGAAAGAAAAATATATTCTCTTAATAAGGCATTTTATTATAAGCTTAATTTCTTTCTGATTAGATTAGTAAATTATGAGTAGGCTATATAACACAAAATATTATAATATTTCACCTTTCTTTTCGCTAAAATGTCAACATTTGTACTAAGCAAAACTCAAAGAAACAAACCCTTATTACTCTCTAATGGCTTCAGCTATACTATCGATAAAACAACTGATGAAAAAATTTATTGGAAATGCGAATCTGCACAATCACTTAAATGCAAAGGTCGAATTCATACTAATTCTCTTAGTACTATTATATTACATGAAACTAATAATCATAATCATCTTGGAAAAGCCGTTTCAAGTGAAATTAGAATATTTGAAGAAAAAATTCGTGATCGTGCTATTAATTATAATGAATCTACACAAACTGTTATTGATAATTGTTTAATGAATTTATCGGATAATGCTGTAGCACGTATTCCAAACTTTAAACATATTAAGAATTTATACATTTTTTGCACCACTTGTAAATTCGTATTTATGTCAGTATTTTTTTGTATCTATCTTGCTAAAATGTATTCAATAATTTGTTTTGTTTAACTTTCTTTCATTAACACAATTATTGTTAGTTTCGTATTCTCATTATAAGTTTGTCGACTAATATTTGTATCAACCAATTTTCGTAGTGACTAATTTTCGTAGCGATCAATTTTCGCAGCGATCAATTTTCGTAGCGACCAATTATCGGCGACTAATTTTCGTTCGACCAATTTTCGCTTTCCCCGATCTTTCAGATTTTCATTCGATCAATGAAAAATATTTTAGTGTTCCGATTGGCCTCATCTAACGATAAGAGCGTTGCAACAATATCCTATCGTACAACTATTCAAAGTCGGTTTCTTTAATGGGTCTGATGGGGAAAAGGATGTACTGAGAACAGACTATTCATTTGGTTATTCAATCTGCCATAATAAACCAATTGCTCGACATCATCCTGATTGGTATGCTCATCCAGGTTATGCATGGGCAATGCATCGCAATGCGTTTGATGCCATTGGTGGTCTTCTTGATTTTTGCATTGTTGGGCCAGGTGATTTACACTTTGCTTATGCTCTCTTGGGTCGAATTCATGAAACATATCCATGTAGCCTTGGTAAAGACTATCAACAATCAGCTGAAGAATGGGGAAATCGATTAGCTACGATAGCCGGTCATGGTGCTAATGTTGGCTATGTCAATACTGATCTGTTTCATCGATGGCATGGTTCGAGAGAAAGTCGTGGCTATAACAGCCGATGGTAAATGTTACTGTTATCGGGAAATTTTTATTTTGTTATTGTAAATCTTTAGGTCGATCTTGATTGACTATCAATACTCGCCTGTTACTGATCTGAGACATGATAAAATATCAGGCGTGATTGACTTCAATTCAACGCTTGGGGAATGCATAGATGATCCACGAATCAAAAAAATGAAACAAGCGATGGTTAATTACTTTATCTCGCGTAACGAGGACACAACAAATACTTCAAAACAGGAATCAACAACGGAAATTCCAATGCAATATCAAGATGCGAATAATTATCCCATAACATCAGTTCCTAATGAACAACTCTTGGTCAATGCTTCACACCACCGATCTGACGCTTTTCACGATGCGGAATAGGTTGCTGAAACTTTGTATTAATCTATAAAATTTTAAACTTGAATCTAAAAATTCGATTTAAGAACTCTGTGATGTTTAAAGCATCAATGGAAAGGGAACATGTGATGGCAATGAGTTGTAAATGAACATAGTTCATTCTTCAGCGTCATCGCTGCTTTCTCACTTTATATTCTGTGCTACACTTCTTTTCCTCTTTCCTATCTGTTATCTATTATTCATGATCTCCTTTTTTTTGTATTTTCATTTATGATACTTACTTTTTCGGTATACTTTCTGAAATGATTCAATCTATTTTTTCACGCATTCGATGACATTGCAACGCCAAATTTGCAACTTGACTTTGTTGTTTTGGATTACAAGTCGTCAAGATTCTCATGGTTATTATAGGGTAAAAACTACTAAGACTAATTTATTTTGCAATTAAGTTCAAATTCACCTAAACGATATTTCAATCTCTGAATCAATTCATCGATAAAATGATCTTCTAATAGCTATTACTGAGATTCTGAACATCAAGAACAAACGATTGTTCTAATATCCAGGTCAAGAAATCACGATTGTAAACGGCTGTAACCGTCGGAATACGACAAAAAAGCGATCATCATATATGGCAAGTCACAACTATTCATGCTCGTTGTATATGACCGTGCCCAGGACGATCGTACTGACGTCGTGAACCATCTTTTAGTATTGCTTTCCTACATGACGATACGTGAGGGCCTTACGTCTCCAAGTCACTGATCATTCAACGATCGAGTTCACATACTAGAACTCTTCGATTTCGGCAAAAAAGACAATGGTTTTCTGACCTGGTCTGGTTCAATTCGTGTCCCGTGCATGCCAGGTTACAATTTTCGAAGCGACCTCCAGCCTGCTCTGGTCTGGCCTGCAGGGCGAACCAGGCCGATTGATACTGATGACTTTTCCAATAGGGTGTGGGTGTAAGTTTGAGTGTGCGAGTGAGTTTTATCTTTACTCATAACGGCACTCATACCTCATACTTCACGGTCCCTGCTGCCTTTCTGATCTTATTGTAATAGTGTGAAATGGGAAGGAAGATTATGTTTGTCTCGGCCTCTGGGAACGATGCGAAGAATGTAAATTTCTACCCTTAACACTTCGACACTTCTTTCGGATTATGTCTTACAAAATCAGGAATATTAAATATAACCATCCCTATGAATTAACTCTGTCGAATGGAAGAAAGTTTCGATGCTTTTTTTGTTTCTTCTTCATTGAAGTCAATAAAAAGATAATAAAAGTTTTACATGACATAAACAAGTAACATACTAAAATAGACACATCAATACTGAATTTTCGTTTTTTTCAAGCTTTGCCATTTTATGCGATGAAGAAAGAGAATTCTTCATATACTGCTTAAGACTGATTTATAACTCACTGGATTAAGTTGGAAGCATTTTAAGATTATCTTGCATGATACACACTTTTTCAATTCTTTTTACGTTTTCGTACGGGTGTCGTTAGGTGTTACAGTATGCATGAAAGTGACACGAAGCTGCCCGAGTAATGTTTCAATTCAAATCCTGACGAATGATGAATATGCTCTAAGTACAAGTTCCCGTGTACACTATCATTGATACAGAATGTACAAAAAACACTTGAGGCATGCAAATAAGCATGCAAGATCGATTCTTCTGCTGTTAAGACATCATGACCCTGAATAGGGTGACAAGTTCACTGATTCATCTGCTTGGCACCTACAGCTTAACAATAGTTTACTGATAAAAATGCAAAGGGTAAATCTGGTAAAAGAATGACTAACACCTAAAATGAATTCGTCGTGAGTAGTATTGAAATTAGAGCATCTGTTCGGAGCTCCCTGTTCACTGACATGCACACTCAGATATAAAACGAATTGAAAACTGATGTCATTTAAACAATTTTATCATCTTTTTATATGCTACGCATACGAGAGTGTGAGTGTGGATGTGGGTTTGGGTGTCAATGAAGAACATTAATCCGAACACCACGCAGCCAGACCCACACCCACGCCCCTATAAAATAGAGAAAAAAGTTTAAATTTTCGGTTATTTTTTGAAAGCAGCATATTTTTTCAAGTAGGTGACCACCGGAATCCTCAAACATTTTGGCATAAAAGAAGTTACCAGAAAACAAAGACCAAATCTTTTTCGAATAATCAGACCTCAGACTATTTTTTTATGCATTTTTTTAATTTCGGTTTTTCTGACACATCTAAAACGCAAGAATTGGGACAAAAAAGAAGTATAGGGTGTCTCAAAATTACAAGACCTCTCTTTATTTTTAGTTTCTCTCTCTCTGAGTAATAGCTGAAACAAGGGTGTGGTGTGGGTGGGGGTGGGGAGAGCGTCTCATTTCAGGTAATTTGTTTATTTTTCATTATAGGCGCCTTGAAATGAAAATGAACAATAATCAATTCTTCAAACGCATTTTTTCACTATTTTCTCAATAGGCGCGCTATGATGAAAACATACATCAATTTGTTTTCTCTTTTAAGCAATGGATATTTTTTTAATATGAATTTTATAATGCTTCAAAACTTTTTCTATAATTTGCTCAATATAGAACGTCTTATTCATATTTAATATGGGAGTCTTATTACAGATATTTTGTTTATTTCTTTTTTTATTGTTGTGGCCGGTAAGAAAAATAAAAATGATCATTTTTGTGTACTCAAAAAGTGAGTACACTCTAGAATCGGTCAGTATGTCCGGCCGGCCGTCCGGCCGTTTACACGATAACTTTCGAAAGGAGAGTCCGATCACGATGAAATTTTCTACACAGTTCAGTCTTAACAATGTCTCGGTCGAGTTCGAAGATGAGCAGGATTCGTCAAGAAATGGCTGAGTTATAGAAAAAATTGTCATTGTTGAGAAGACCATCCCTGAGGAGGGGTACAGGGATTTT